AACCTTTTCCAGCATAAAAGTTGTTTGACTCCAAGTCTCCTCCTACTCTCCCTGCGCGGAAGTCTTCTGCGCAGGGAGGGCGTGGGTAGTGGAGGACCCGTGCTCTCCTCGCTGATCTCCGGCGAGGAGTCCTGGAGCCCCCTCGCCGATTCCCCCTTCTGCCCCCCTTTATCCCTGGTGTTACGCTGATATCTTTCCCCAGCTGGTGAGCCGCCTCTCCCCCTGCTGGGCCCTTCTCCAGCATCGCTTGAGAGCCTAGCCTCCGCCTCTGGCTCCGATGTCAGTTCCCTGACACTATGGATCCTGCCACCTGAGGTGGTCGCCTCACACTGCCTCATGGGTGGGCCAGCTCTGGTTGCCAGTGGTCAAATGGATATTTGGGTGTATGGCCAATGGATTTAATCTCACTTTCCCCATGGCCTGCTTGCACTCACTGAAAACAACAGGGTTTATGAGAACACTGTGTGATCTCTTAGCCCACCATGCAGTGCACCTCTTGCTTCAGCACACTTTAGAACTTCTTTCTCAAAGGGCAACCCTACACCCCACCCCCATGCTGCCACATGTCCAAACTTCTTTTAAAACAGAGGGGTGTTTCCAAAGCGGGGGGCGGGGGGGGGCTGTTAAAAGAAAACCAGAAGTTTGAAACCTACTGGGCTTGCCCCTGAACTCAGCAAACTGCATTTACATTGAGGATTTCAGAAACATTATTCTCCTCTGGGGATTTTTGAACAGTGAAACAATCCAATTATTCAAAAAGCAGCAAGGCTGACAAATACCCCCATTTATCATTTTTAAAATAAATAATAAGCCAACTACAGAAATAATAATACAACAGAGCAGTGAGTTAGCCAGAGACATAATGCTGAAATCTGCCCATTCCCCCCTCACTACGCCCCACTTAATAAACAGGCATCTGACCAATTTCTTGTATTTGAATCCAGGGGCATTGGGTTACAGGAAATATAAACCCCTGGTACCTTGCAGGAGGCCTGAGAGCATTTCCCCCCCCCTTCTTTTTTCAGGGACACTGGTTAGGAAAATGCAGCAAAGTTAACAAGAATTTGCCTCTAGCAAATTCATAGTCAAAGTTCAGAGCAAGTTCTCACCTGGTGTTGTGGTTTCGCAGTTTCAGGACTGGGTTTGTGCAAAAAGAATATTAGAATATTTTACTCCAAGCTTTGCTGAAATGGCATGGTTAGGAATAGATGATGAGGAAGAGTTTATGTTCCTGGCAAAAATAGAACATATTTTATGCTGTACATAAACCAGAATAGTTACTCGGGCAAAGTTGATAAGGCCTCGGAGGCTCTGATTTACTAGAAAACACTTGCCTTGAACAAAGACCTCAAGAGCAGGCTTGTGGTTTTGTTTTGTTTTGTTCTTTGAAAGTATGGAGGGCCCCTTAATTGAACTGGGTGTGGGATGTGAAACTTATAGCAGTCAAGTGCAGTGGTACCTTGGGTTAAGAACTTAATTTGTTCTGGAGGTCCGTTCTTAACCTGAAACTGTTCTTAACCTGAAGCACCACTTTAGCTGAAGCACCTCCTGCTGCCGCCACGCCGCCGGAGCACGATTTCTGTTCTCATCCTGAAGCAAAGTTCTTAACCCGAGGTACTATTTCTGGGGTAGCGGGTAGCAGAGTCTGTAACCTGAAGCGTCTGTAACCCGAGGTACCTCTGTACAACATTCCTACAGCGGACATGTTAGGGGATGTTTTGTCCCACTCAGGAGAAGACTTCCTGTTTCCTCCTGAGCTGGGACAGAGTTGAAGAGGACGCGGTCCGTTGTTCTAGCATGGAGGATCAGTGTGTCTTCTCCATTTTGGATGTTGCTGTGTGTTTGGAGAAGTGACTGCTTAGTCGCAGTCACTTGGGACTCACTTCTTTATGGAATAGTTCTAGTTGTTATGTAACCTAAGCCTGCCTTCAGGGATATGTCTGTGAACCTGAATGAATCTGTGAGTAAACTATTTTTATAGTAACGTTAATCAGATTCTTGTGTTTATTCTTTTTAAGAGGGATTTGAAGGGTTTTTACCAGGAAGGAATCTTTAATAGTAAGACTCAGATGAGTCAGCAACAAGCTGATCGCTGCATAATTTAAAAAGGGGGACTCTGCTAGAATATGGAACTTGCTAGCACAAGTTAGGAAGGATATCATTAAATAATATATCCTCTCCTGCCTCCCTAATAATCCCCACACTGGGCTTCTGGGGTGCTATTTTGTTTTTAATCTTGCTGACAAAGTGACACAATTTAGTTCTATCCTAGGGTTGCCATAGGTCCTCTTTCCCCCGGACATGTCCTCCTTTTCAAGGGTAAAATGCCAGTCTGGGGGGATTTGTTAAATAGGCCAAATTGTCCCGGGGGTTTTGTTGGCAACCCTTGATCCCACCTTAGGTATACCTCTATTGGGCATGCCTCCTGTCATTCAGCAGTACTGCGGCTCTCATTGGCTCAAGGGCCTCCCTCACCTACCTATGTCCCGCCCTCCATCGCCATGGGATCTGGTGTCTCCCGCCTGCCAACTTGATTCGCTTCAGGGCCTGCTTTTCAAGTGGCTTGGCAGGCCCGGTTGGGTGGCGGCAGTGTCCATCAGCCCTCTCTTCAAATTAATTGGGTGAATCCGAGGTCTCTCCCCTCAGCATCCCGCCCCACCGCCTGGCCTCTCATGGAGCTCAGGGAGGGCTGTGCTGGAGAGGCCAGCTGTTCCCAATCCCTCTTTTCTCTCACCCCCTTTTCCTGCCTCATTCCCTTTCTCCTCCCCTTCCTACCTCCCTTGCCAGGGCTTCACCGCCGCCTGGGTCTCCCCCTCACCTTCTCCTTCTTTTCTCTGGCAACTTGGTGGCTCCTCTTTGGGATTTGATACCTTTGTTGTTGTTTAGTCGTTTAGTCGTGTCCGCCTCTTCGTGACCCCATGGACCAGAGCACGCCGGGCACTCCTGTCTTCCACTGCCTCCCGCAGTTTGGTCAAACTCATGCTGGTAGCTTCGAGAACACTATCCAACCATCTCGTCCTCTGTCGTCCCCTTCTCCTTGTGCCCTCCATCTTTCCCAACATCAGGGTCTTTTCCAGGGAGACTTCTCTTCTCATGAGGTGGCCAAAGTCTTGGAGCCTCAGCTTCACGATCTGTCCGTCCAGTGAGCACTCAGGGCTGATTTCCTTCAGAATGGAGAGGTTTGATCTTCTTGCAGTTCATGGGACTCTCAAGAGTCTCCTCCAGCACCAGAATTCAAAAGCAACAATTCTTCGGAGATCAGCCTTCTTTATGATCCAGCTCTCACTTCCATACATCACTACTGGGATGTGTAATTTACGGGGGGGGGGGGGCGGGGAAGGAGGGGGTGATGTATGTTTTTGAGTGAGCAACATACTGGGAGGCGCAAAATGCTTTTTGTTGCAATTAGCCTCTTGTTTTTATTTGGGCGAATTCAGCTCACCTGCCTTGTCCCTCCTTGAGCAAAAGCTGTGGAGCAAAAGAGAGAACTGGCCCTAGGGCCTTTTTTGCAGCAAATGTCTTCTTGGCTTCTGAGGCAGCATGACTGACCTTCTATTTGTGCTGGAAACTCCAGGATTTAATGCGCACGCCTTGATGGGGTTCCTTTCCTCATTTAAAAGGAAGAAAAAAGATTTTAAAAGCCTTTGCCTCCATGCACCCCCCAAATGCTTGGAGATTTTCAGTAGATGTGTTAATAGCTTTCTTTTTGTTTTCTCCACCTTTTTTTTTAAAAAATGTTTTTTGCTTGCTTTAAAGGGAAATGGTTGCAGTCCTCCAGTTTGTATGCAAATGAGGGGATTGTTAAAGTAATTATAATTATTTGATTTTTAAGAAATTCTCTATATAACTTTAATTCCAACATAGTTTGTGCTCTGAACCGTCGGGTCTTGTAGCTCTCTGAATGGCAAAAGAACCAAATGTTTATTGAGTTGATATTTTTAAAAGACATTCCTTGCTTATCAGCTGTTAGTATGCAGTCTTATTTTTACTGGATCTGAGCTCAAGGGAGCGTATTTATGAGCATGTAGTATTAAATGCAGGTGTAGCTTGGCTGCAGAAATGCACTGTACATGTGTAAGCATCCAACATGGGTTCATGTCCTTGGAGTCATTGTTGTACCTTGATGGTAAAATGGGATGTTTTCAGGAGAGATCAATGCTGGTTGTGTTTTAGGGGTTGCTTTGGGGTTGTTCTTTTAGTGTGTTTCCTATTGTCTTCTCCTGCCTCCCTAATTTATCACAGCTTCTATAGCCTACATATAGTAGGGGTATTTAAAATGAGAGTCGTCATAGCGTCCTCTTTTTTGCTCTTCAAAATGTGGCAACCCTACTCTATCCCAGGTCTGCTCAGGATCCTGTTTCCACAGTGAGTGTCTGAAGAGATTGTTTTGCTTGGCAGCATTTCCAGCTTGAATTCAGTCAGTGGTTATTTTCTGATCCTTACTGCCATCCTCATGGGGTTTGTGAAATTTGCCTTGATGCTCAAATAGACAGGTTGTACACAGTTTCAGGTTGGGATCAGCTTTTGGCCTTGTAGGTCAAGGGGTTATTTATGTCATACGGCAAATTTTGTTTTCTGACTGGGCATAAGAATCACCTTAGTTCTGCTGCTGAGAAAAGAACATAAAACAAAGGGATTTACCTCATGGCAAGTTAGACCATTTTTCTACCTGGCTCAGTACTGTCTACACTGCCTACATACCCTCCAACATTGCCCTGATGAAAGTCAGGGCACCAGAGCATGGCACCAGAAGTGGTGCGTCTTTTGGTGCCGTGCTCTGCACCACTGCAGCTGACTTGTGCGAGAGCACAGCACCATGGCAAGCACCAGTGCTGGCTGCAAGCACTGGCTCATCCCAGGACATTCCAGGGTCACATAAGAAGCCAGGGTGGCTTCTGTAATTTCAGGAATGTCCTGTTAAAATAGGGGCGGTTGGAGGGCATGTGCTGGCAGTGGCTCTCGCAGAGTTTCAGGCAGAAGTCCTTCCCAGCTCTGCCTGGAGATGCCACTGGGGATTAACCTCGGGTCCTCTTGCATTCAAGGCAGATGCCCTGCCACTGAGCTACGGCCCTTCCCCACAGTCTTGATCCTTACCACCCGGTCACCTGTTGCCCTCATAGTGATTTCCAGAGAAACTTTGTGGTTTTATCTAGCGTGACCATATGTTAGGCTCTGGTGATAGCATCATAATTTCAAAGCATGCACAGATGACCAGATTTCAGCTTTCTATCTATTTATGGAAGTGCCCAAACAGTTTTGATACCCTGTCAGTGAATGAGAGAGAGATAAAGCAAAAATTTATCCTGTAAAGCAGAGTGCTCTGATACGGGGCTTTCATGAAATGTTGTGCACCGTATCAGTTTAGCTTCCACTTTGGTTCAAAGCCATGGGCAGAGATGGGCTATACTTATATTTACAGTATGCAGAGCACATGTGTTGCTGCTGTTTATGTGATTATGACACAACTAAATATGAGGTTATGTCCAGGCGCAACTGTATTTTTAATTTGGAATTTATACTCTCCCACTCTGATACCACCATCCCTTTTGCTGTAAGATCAGAAACAATTTACTTTAAACTTCATAAATGACATCACATGTTGCCAGATTAAATATCCCTATAGCTGTTCCTCTTAGGTTTTGTGCAGGTTCCTGGATTTTAACCTTGAAAAGTGAAACACAGCCCCGTACAGTAATTGAATTACAGCCTTGCACTAAACATGGGACCAGGCTTTATGCAGACAGAATATATACCCTGGATACTGAAACCTCTTTGGGAGAGCGGGGAGACAAGTAAGGAAAGAGGCAGTGACCCACATTTTAAATCTGAGTGAGATCAAATGCCAACTGACTTGGTGGTCTCAACCTCGAGGTTACAGATCAGTGCTCAGGGCAGAATTTGATTTGTTTCACATGAAGAGGCTTGGTTGAATGTGGGAGAATCTTTAGTGTTTGGGGTGACAAACCAGAGCAAAGCTCTTCTGTTGAGCTTTTATTCCTTTGGAACAATAGTGCCCCATAGCAGGGGTTTGTTGTTCTCTTTCAGAATACAGAGTAAAAAGTCAAGGCAGGCAGGTGGTGGTAGAGGCCTGTCAAGATGCCTCCTTAATTCTTTTTATGTCTTACACCTGAAAACACTGGGCTGGGTCTGGACTTAACTAGCTGTACTTAAGTTATTTCAAGCTGCAGTACAAGGAAAGGAGATTCTGACTAAACATTCGGAAGAACTTTCTGAGCTGTTTGATGGTGGAACGGGCTACCACAGAAGGTGGTGGACTCTCTCCTTCGTTGGAGGTTTTAAAGCGGAGGCTGGACAGCCAGCTGCCCGGGATTCTTTAGCTGTGGTCCTGCATTGCAGGGAGTTGGACCAGAGGACCATTTGGGCAGGCATCCCCCAACTCTGGACACTGACAAACTGGAACGTGTCCAGAGGAGGGCAACCAAAATGGTCAAAGGCCTGGAAACGATGCCTTATGAGGAACGGCTATGGGAGCTGGGCATGTTTAGCCTGGAGAAGAGGAGGTTAAGGGGTGATATGATAGCCATGTTCAAATATATAAAAGGATGTCACATAGAGGAGGGAGAAAGGTTGTTTTCTGCTGCTCCAGAGAAGCGGACACGGAGCAATGGATCCAAACTACAAGAAAGAAGATTCCACCTAAACATTAGGAAGAACTTCCTGACAGTAAGAGCTGTTCGACAGTGGAATTTGCTGCCAAGGAGTGTGGTGGAGTCTCCTTCTTTGGAGGTCTTTAAGCAGAGGCTTGACAACCATATGTCAGGAGTGCTCTGATGGTGTTTCCTGCTTGGCGGGGGGTTGGACTCGATGGCCCTTGTGGTCTCTTCCAACTCTATGATTCTATGATTCTAACTTGGCCCTCCAGATGTTTTGGGACTACAACTCCCATCATCCCATACCACTCGTCCTGTAAGCTAGGGATGATGGGAGTTGTAGTCTGAAAACTTCTGGAGGGCCGAGTTTGGGGATGCCTGCCTTTGGGGATCCCTCCCATTATTCTGTTCATGACTCATGTCCAAATCAGATGTGTGTCCATGTTTTCTATGCACATGTACGTAAGTATGACAATAAACCAGTGGTGGGAAGGTCTACCTTTATCACTAAATGGAGTGGTGGGAGCAAAACCTGTCCTCTCACACACCTAGGGGCCATCATTTCATTTCCTGCTCTGCCCTGTAACTGTCATATGCAACACTGTTTCCATTCTGCTGCCATTTGTCTTCTGCCAAAAACTATGCTATTTGTCTCCACTCTGGCAAAATTAAGTAACTTACATAATTATGTATATAATTACATATTTATGTAAATTTGATTGTCATTACATTATGCTGTCCCATTCATTTCAACTCAAATTCATTTCCCCATTTCCCCTCAATGCAAATGGGAAAGGAAACTGTAAACATTTACATAGCGCTTGTGGACTGAAGGCAACAACAGATTTGTATTTGCTGGATTGATTTATCTTCTGGACATGGGCCAAATAAGTGAGCATTGGCAATTTTGCCTGGTTTCATTTTCATCAGGATTCCCTGACATTCCTACACAGATTCTGCGCTGCTTCAAACCATTCTCTCCCAGCCTGCTATGGCTCACTTACTGTGCTGGAAAAAACAGACTCTCTCCCTGCTCTTCACTCCTGCATTATAGCCAGTCTGGAAGGCAAGTGTTTTGCAAACCAATGGCACTTTAGTCTGGCCCTAACCTAACTGCCATTGGTTTATATGGGACTAAGTGTGACTGGATCCAACCTAGGATGTGTGTGTGACCAGCACATGCTTTCAGCTGTGTGCATCATAGAAACTATTCCAGGTAGTGAGGAACTGGTTGTGGCTCTTCACTGTGTATACATATAGCAGAAAATGCATATTGCTGCTCAAATGAAGTGGCCCTTTTAGAACACAGGCTATCAACAAATGTAGTGAATTTCTAAAGTGGCATCCCCAAACCTGGTCCACTGCAGGCGTTTTGGATCATTTAGGATTCCATTTATTTCCTTTCACAAAAAGGAGAATATCTCCAAGTGACTCCACTAAAATATATCCACTAAAACAAAGAAAACACGTTTAAAATCTTAATGCAGTCTGCTATGCCAACAGGCGGTCGTCAGAGGAGTTGTATTCCACAACACCTGGAGGGGGGCAGGTTGGAGAAGTCTACTTTGTCGTGTTTTGAAATGCCACAAAACTCCTACATCCAAAGCATGTCTCTAAAGGAGTGAGCATGCAACATAGACTCTTGCATTTCACAGTGCACACATCTCTGTTTTGCTCCTTACTGATGTGCTGGGAAGAGACAGGTTATTGTGGCTTTCACTGCATGAATGAATCCAACACATTTGATTGTCAACTATATTTCAAAGTAGCCTTATATCAGTGGGGGTGGGGGTGGGGGTGGAGTTTCTGAGCTACCGAAAGGTTAGCTCAGTTAACAGTTCTTACTATGCTCCAGGTTGGGCAACTAGTAGACTAAAAATAGGGGCAGAAGACATTCTGCATTGATCTGCAGCTTGTTTTTGTGCCCATGGACACCTGCTGTCTCAGATACCAAAGCTCAAATATTTGCAGTATGGATTCTGGTGGACATATTTTGTTTACTGTTTTTTACTGTTGTTTAGTGTTGACCTTTTGGATGCCTAGTATGCTGAAACACCAGCTTGCTTGTTTTTAAAAGTGTGGGTTCTGAAATCTGGTTTTTTTTGGGGGGAATCAACCCATTGGGCTAATCCGGGCCAATATCCAAGACATCCATTGAAAGCAGTTCTGCATTAATTATCTGAATTTGAGAGGGAGATGTCTGGCCATGGATGTAGCTGGGGGGGGGGCAGCGAAGGGCAGCTGCTCCCCCTAAATCGATAAAAATCAATATAAATACATAGCTAACTGAGGTTCTGCCCCCACAACAAAAGGCCTGCCCATCCTAATAAAAATCCTGGCTACTCCCATGTGTCTGGCAAAGGGGGTAGAAGGGGTTACATTTGTGGGGAGCTGAGACCAGCAGGGGGGCTGCACTCTTAGCTTTCATTTTCAAATGTAAGTCCCTACATGCTCTAGTTCAGGGGTCAGCAAACTTTTTCAGCAGGGGGCTGGTCCACTGTCCCTCAGACCTTGTGGGGGGGTGGACTGTATTTTGAAGAAAAAAATGAACAAATTACTATGCCCCACAAATAACCCAGAGATGCATTCTGAATAAAAGCACACATTCTACGCATGTAAAAACACACTGATTCCCGGACTGTCCACGGGCCAAATTGAGAAGGCGGTTGGGCGGGATCCGGCCCCCAGGCCTTAGTTTGCCTACCCATGCTCTAGTTCAAAATATGTAAGGCAAAATGTGAGCTCACCCTCCCTCCCCAAATTTCTGTGAAGTAAACTAGGCTGGGTGGTGGTCCCTGCATTACAAGAATTTAGCGAGCGAGAGAAGTCAAAGCTGTGATTGGCCAAGAGGCCTTTTCGGACATCACTCAAGACCCAGGAATTAATTAGAGCTGCCATTTCTGCCTGCCTCATTGTAGCCCAGCCTAGACTTTGCTTGCTGGGTAATGGTGTGTTTGGGTGCACAACATGTGGCTCAGTGAGTGCATGACTTCATCATCATCATCATTTTTATTCGACCGTCAGTCAGAAAAAAGTACATTTTATCAATACACAGTTAAAAACATCCAGGAAGATTTTAAAACTTAGCCAACACTAAAATGGGCTAAACAGGTAGCCCCATATCAATACAGTCAATTATAGTCTTGCGATGCTTAAAAGCTAAAAAGAGAAATTTGGCCACCAAGGAAGGTATAGCTCTAGTGGCGTTATTCAGCAAGTGTAAAACCTAGTTTTCTCCGGGTAGGAAGCTGAATTGACATAGGAGAGGGTCTAAAAATTTTTGTCTAAGCTCTGCATAAGAAGGGCAAGTCAAAAGAATATGTTCAGTGGACTCAACCACACCCATGGCACAATGACAGGTTCTCTGGGCGTATGGTACCCCCCTGTACCTTCCCCACAATATCGCAGAGTCAAGGACATTTAATCTAGCCGCTGTAAGAAGTCTACGGTATTCCACATA